TCTTGATGCAGTGACCTGTAACACAACTGTCTTTGCAACAAGACATACTGTTTCACAGGCGTCGACTTTCTAACGTGCCGGGGGATGTTCCCCTTGGCTCCGCCCCAGCCCCCCCCCACTCCTCCCCTTCCCTGCCCCTTCCCCGAGTGTGCCCCCCCCTCGCTCCTCCCCCCCCCCCAGTCTCCTGCATACTGCGGAACAGCCGATCTACGGCAGGCGGGAGGTGCTGGGAGGGAGGGGCAGGCGCTGATCGGTGGGGCTGCTAGTGGGTGCTCAGCACCCACCATTTTTTTCTGTGGGTGCTCCAATCAGTGCCTTTGTACTGTTTTACAGGCCAGAAAGGAAGGAATGAACTCAGGATTACAGTCCATCAACAGCATTTAAGTTCTTCCTCCTGGTCTGGGCTCAACTTCCGACCTCTGTATTTGCAATGGGTCATGTTGATTTAAGCCTGGTCGACACACAGTTTTTGTACAACTATGTTGATTAGGGTTGTGATATTTTACCAATACGGTTATACCAGTTGTGACAATGCGGTTCTGGCGGAACCCAACTGAGAGTGCCAACTCAGGACAAATTGCTCAAATAGGGCAGTTCCAGCCCAAGGCTGGGGTTTTTTCCACCTCTAAGGCAAACCAAACCAGCCAGACTAGGAGGATTTCAGTCTCACCCCACTGGCTAACTGCAAGTCTCACAAGCAATCTCCTTAGACACTCCAGTTTCCCGGTATTACCACCAGTGCCACTCGTTATGGGGACAAATGGTTATGAAAACCAGTATCCCAGTAAAAGAAAAAGGTTCTCCTGATCCCAAAGGACCAAGCCCCAGACCCAGGTCAATATACAAATCAGATCTTACCCACAAATCACACTGTTGCCAATCCTTTAGAAGCTAAAATCTAAAGGTTTATTCATAAAAGGAAAAAGATAGAGATGAGAGTTAGAATTGGTGAAATGGAATCAATTACATACAGTAATGGCAAAGTTCTTGGTTCAGGCTTGCAGCAGCGATAAAATAAACTGCAGGTTCAAATCAAGTCTCTGGAATACATCCCCCGCTGGGATGGGTCCTCAGTCCTTTGTTCAAAGCTTCAGCTTGTAG